CAACTTTCACATAAGATCATTGTGAGAATGCTATCGTTGGCATTATTTATATTTTTTGTTTAGGCTCACAAATAAAAGAGATATTAAGGAACTTTCCATTGGCTATACCCATCTCCTGTCTTCAAAACTCCTCCCTGTTGCATAGATTGTTTTTCTTTAGTCTAGAAACGTTTACTTTTTAACAGTGAATTCGTTGATGCTCTTAATTTAGAACTTTGATTGTTTTTGCTTTTTGTAGTTCACTCTTCCCACTTACTATGGTTTTATTATCTCATACCTACACAGCAGATACAGCTCAGAACAAAGTGGATGTTCATTGGCTGAGTTCCCGGTGTTTGTGTGTCTGTTAACTTTTGAACTCCTTTCAAGGCTCACAAGAACTAGAATTTAAATGACTAACAAGAACTGCAATTTGAAGGCAATATAACTGGACTTGATTAGTCAGTTGTTAGGTTAATTACCTGACTTTTTTTTTTTTTTTGTCCTGATGATTGAACCCAGGCCCTGATACATGCAACTATCAAGATGTACCCTCAGGTTTGAGATAGATTTTTTTTTTTTGGTTATTTTTTGTTTTGAGACAGGGCTATATAGTTCAGGCTGGTCCTAAAGTCATTATTGTAGCCCAATCTGGCCTTGAATTTGCAGCAATCCTCCTGCTTCAGCCTTCCAAGTGCTAGGATTACAAGCATTTACTACCACACCCAGCCTGGACATGGTTTTATTTTATTTTTCTTTTAATTTTTTAATTTTTTGGTACCAGGGATCAAACTCACGACCTCGCATTTGCCAAGCAGGCACTTATGCCATTGAGCTAAACCCCCAGCCCCTGGATTTATTTACTTATTTATTTATTTGGTACTAGGGATTAAACTCACAACCTTGTGCTTACCAGGCAAATGCTTGAATCATTGAGCCTGTCCCCTGACATGGCTTTTCTATAAATGTTCCTCCCATTTTTTTCTTATTGTGTGTGTTCTTGGTGTCATAATGAAAAGTCAGTTAATGCCTAATTAATTAAAAAGATTTAAAATTTTTATTTAACACATAAGTTCACCTTTTAAATGACTTTCTTACATCTAAATATCTTTCAATCTCATTTTATTTAAATTTCACTTTGTTGTAATAAATACATTTCTCTTATTAGTATCACTTGCTTCTGTAGTCCAGGGTCACAGTAATAATTCATTTTCATGTAAGAACAAGAAAGTTGTATTTATATAACAAAATGAGCTCATTTTGAGGCCTGATCCTTATGTGAGATATATATATATATATGCAACATGGTGTAAGCAGTCACTTTTACTAAGTGCCTGCCTTTCAAACACAAAAGAAAAACTATAAAACTAACACCTCCTTAGCTTTGTGAATATTTCAGATAGAGAATCAAAGCAACCTCTCAATCTTTTAAACTATGGATCTGTCTTCATCCTGGGTTGACAAAAGGCAAGCTATGGTTTCTTTGGTTTTATCCTCTCTATAATACATGTTTTGGAATGAATAGTAACAATTTAAAAAATTACACATAATTGGTAGTTTTTCCTATGCCTGAAATGTAAGCTCATAACGTAATAGCCAATTATCAGCACTCCATAATTTTAGCTTAAAAGTTTCCATGAATAACTCCTATTTACCTTCCTATCATAATTGTTACTAGTTGATGTAACTTGGCTAAAGAATTTAAAAAGTTGTTCCTTGCCATTCACTGAAAAACCAACTTTAGCTGTTGTAAAGAAAGTTTATGTTTCTTTTTCAAATTATTTCAAATGTTCTTTCCCAATAAGCTTTTCTAAAATCAAAGCACCTTAGAGTTGAAGATGGCCTTGAATTTCTTCTAAGTTACTTGCTATGTTTTTCAAATGGTGAAACTGAGACTTAGAGAAATTTAATGACTTGGTTCATGTTATTCAGCTGCTTGGTGCATACCAGAGACTAGACATCAAGTCTGGTTTCCTCTTTTACCTTATGGGAAGTCAATGCCAAATACATGTTTGCTAAACTCAATTAATTCTTTGCAGCATATCATACTTTAGATGAGTGGCACGTCATTGATTTAGTTTTTATAAACATTTGGCAAAGGTCACGTGGCTTAATTAAACTGTGACCGTGATCTTCCTGTGTGGCTCTTGTCTAGTTCTAAAAGCAGATCTGCCTCTAATAGTGCATTTGCCCAGCAGGACTCAGAAACTAGATTTTAATTGAAAATTCTGTTACTGCTCTGCTTTTTAGTAATCATTTTCTTAAATGTTTTGTTTTTTCTAGTAATCAACTATTTTCAAAGTTACTTTTTCCTTTGAGTCTACAGAGAAACATTGTATTTCTTATGGGATACTTTTATTTGTTCATTTATTTATTTTTAGAAGAAGCTCTGGGGTTTGGTGGCACATGCCTGTAATCTCAGTAATTGGGGCAGGAGGATCGTTGTGAGTTAGAGAACAGCCTGGGCTACAAAGTGAGCTCGAGGTCAGCCTGAACTGTATAATGAGACCCTATGTCAACAACAAAACAAAACAACAACAACAAAAAAATTCGCAGGTATTGATACTTGGTATTTTTTTGGCACTGGGAATCTTAATTTACGATCTCATGCTTACCAAGCAGGCACTTACATGCTGAGTTAAACCCCTACCCCTAGTTCTTCATTATAGGTTCAGTTCTTTCTTTGCTCATCTTTGAATGGAAAGGATTGTATCTACTGAGTTTTGATATTTCATGAAACAAGAGTATATAATACAAGAGTGTATAATACTATCAGTCAAGTACCAAGCTGTTCACACGATAGCTCATCAAGGTTCAAGACTTGTTATGGTGTGCATCCCCTAGAATAATTTTTGGAGTTTAACAGGAATTCCTGTCATTCAACTGTGATTCAACTGTGGTTCAGTGTGGAGTTTGTTTACAAATAGTGTAATGCTATAGAATTCTACTTTTTTGTTACCGGTTTCCAATGTTAATTCCATTGTGGTCTGAGAGCAGATATTGTTGATTTCTATTTTTAAAACTTAAGGTGTGTTTTATGGCTGAGAGTATGGTCCATCTTGGTGACAATTCCATGTGAGCTTGTGAAGAATATGTATTCTTCAGATTATTATATAAAGTTGTCTATAGGTGTTCATTATATTCTGTTGGCTGGTGGTGTTGTTGAATTCATCTTTGTCCTTATTGATTGTCCTTGATGGATTTTCTGCCTGCTGAGTTTATTTCTGGCAGAAGAGTATTGAAGTTTCTCCTACTATAATAGTGAATCATCTCGTTTTACTTGTATTTCTATTAGTTTGTGCTTGATATGTTTTGACGCTGTGTTGTTTGGTGTATATTCTTTCAAGATTTTAGGTCTTCATGGGGGACTAACCTCATAATTATGTAAAGCTCTATCTCTGAACCTTCCCTCATTTAAAGTCTGCTCTATTAAAATTAATATAGCTACTTTTTCTTTAACATCCAGAAATAAAGAAAATAATAACCACAACAACAACAAAAACGGAAGTAGTTCAGTTAAAAAAGGGGCACCTGATAGAAATAGACACTTCACAAAAGAAATACAAGTAGCTAATAACTATGAAAAAATGTTTGATACTCTCATTAGTAATCAGGGGAAGACAAATCAAAATTACAATGTTACTCCAATAAAAATGCTCTTTTAAAAAAATGCAAAAACAGCAATAAAACAAACAAAAAAATGCTGGTGAAGATGTGGAGAAAAAAAGAATATTCATACCCTGTTGATGGAAATATAATCAGAATTTGATTCAGTTATTGTTACTCCTGGGTATACATCCAAAGGAAAAGAAGTCATCATACAAAAGACATACTTACCCATCTGTGTTTATCATGACACTATTTATGATAGCTAAGCCCATCAACTGATGAATGGATAAATAAAATATAGTGCTCTGTGTAAGCCAAACAGCATTATTAAGTCATAAAGAAGAGTGACATCTTGTCATGTGTAGTAAAATGAATGGAACTGGAGGACTGTCATTCAATAAAATAAGCCAGACAAGAAAGACAGCTACTGCATGTTATCTCTCACATGTGAAAACTTTAAAAAAGAAAAAGGGACCACTTGAAAGTTGAATAGTGATTACTAGGTACTGGGAAAGGTGCCAGTAGGGGAAGTGAGGTGGATAGTGAGGAAGAAGGATGGATAAATATGATGAATGCACACTGTATGCATGTACGGAAATGCCACAGTGGATCCTATTAGTACGTACAATTCATGTGTATTAACTAAAAAAAAGTAAGAAAAGAAGAAGAAAGTGACATAGTGTATCAGGGTACTTCAGAGTAACAGAACCAAATAGAATTATATATATATATATATATATATATATATATATAATATATATGTATATATTGCAAAGATATTATGTTTTCTTATGATAATTAGCTCATGTGATCACGAAAGCTGAGAAGTCCCACAGTTTGCTGTCTGCAAGCTGGAGAGGCAGGAGAGTTGGTGGCATACTGCAGTCTGAGTTCTAAGGCCTAAGAACTGGGGGAACCAATATGCTACTCTAGGTCAGGTTTGAGATCTGGGAATGGGGCCTGGAGGGGGACCTGGTGACCTGGTGTCTGAAGACCTCACAATCAGTAGAGCCCTGTAACACATCCCTGCCAAAATGTTTATATTGGATAGTTTTATTATTTCCCCATCATACTAATGAGAGCTATCTTTTATTATCTTTTGTGTCAGACTCTGGGGCTGTATCTTTGTTTAATTAAAAAAAAAAAAACTTTGAAAGGAAGGTCTTAGTGTCCTTTCCTCATTTTCCAGGGAAGGAAGTGGAGATTTAAGTGATTTGTTCCAAGTGTCAGTTGTTACTTGGCAATAGGTCAGACTTCATGCATCACTTTCTTTTTATTTTGTGTTTTGGGTATATGGGTAGCTGAGCATTGAAAGCAAGTAGTTACCTAGAATTACTGTTCTATGTTCTGAAAGCTGTTATGTTTATTTTAATTAGATCTGAAAATAATACACTATTAATCTTCTTTTTGAGATGGTGGCGGTTCCAGGATTTACCCTTGGTGCCTTCGTATTTCTGTTGCGTGTTAGTTTGGTGGTCAGTTACCCCAATGGAAAAGTAACAAAGTCATGCCATCGAATGATCCCTGAACACGGTCATAGGCCACAGTCTGACCCAACTCACCGTGTGGCAGTGAATCAGACAACATTCAGACCCGGAGATCACATTGAAGGTATTGTGCTGGAATATTTCCATTATGAGTTCCATACTTCTACTGTTTATTGCATTTTTATTACTGGATTTGGATTGTTTCATTTTAATCTGTTTTTTATTATTGTTTTTGTAAGATTTTGTAATATTGTACTCATTTTTTGTTTACTAAAGATGACCATAATATTTATATAGTATATCTACTCTCTATTAGAATAGTTTTAGAATAATTTTTTATCATTGTTTAGTGTATATTTATTAGTAGTGTTAGTAACTTAGAAGAGAAAATAAATTTATTTTATTTTTACTTTTTATTTATTTTTGTGCCAGGAACAAAACTCATGACATTGTGCTTGCCAAGCAGGCACTTATGCAGCTGAGCTATATCCCCAGCCCTCAGTTTATCTTGTTTAAAAGATAATAAACCTTTGCTTTCCTAGAAATACTATTTCCCTAGTTCTTTTGACAAATGTAGGTAAACTGTTAAAAATGTTTATTAAAGTTGGTGCAGTGGCATAAATGCCTGTAATCCCAGTGTTTTAGAAAGGTAGAGCCAGAGGCTCTCAAGTTCAAGTTTGGTTTAGATAATTTAATAAGAGCCTGTCTCAAAGTATACAAAAAGTGGCCTGGAGTTGTAGCTTAGTGGTAGAGCACCCTTGGGTTTGATCTGTAGTACTACCAAGAAGAAAAAAAGTATCTTAACATCAGTTTGCAAATTCTTTTTCTGCAGTTCTAGAAGTGCAAAACATTAATAAGTATTCTTTAGCAAAAAAGGTACATGGAGAATGAAGTGAAGAACATTCCATTATATAAAATGTATCTCTTAGAGTTTCACATTGCTTGGTAGACTATTAAAGACATCAGGGGATGGGCAGTAAAGAAACAGGTATTTAATGTCATCTAGCATTTTCCAAACCAAGTTAGCCCTACAATGTCCATTGGCTGTTACCTATGTTTTCCCCTTGGGGTTAGGTTTAATGAATGTCCTGAACACAAGTCAGAGATTTTTTGCCTATGAAATGATTTCTGTTCTTTTTTTTTTTTTTTTTTTCCTGAGTGGTTTTGCACACAGGTACCTGATTTTAACTGTGATGTACCGACTGTAAACATTCCTTTTTGGGAATTACTGAGTCCATTAATTTGTCTTTTTATCTGTTTTGTAGTCACTTTATCAGGACCACCTTTTAAAGGCTTTCTTCTAGAAGCTCGTGATGCTGAGAATTTGGATGGTCCTCCTGTTGGCTCCTTCATGCTGAATGACAGTTGGGCATCCCAGCTTCTGACTTGTGAGAATATACAGGTTTGTGTTTAGCTCGTGAGTAATTTTCTGTCAGCTTTCTTGGAGGTTTTCACTATGAAAAGTGAAATGTGTTATTACAGAAACATTACCCAGGCATGACAGACATTTCAACAGATTCATGGTGATCACATTTTTTTCTTTAATTTACTTGAAACATTTTTTTCACTTTATTATTCTAGGAAAGGTAAGGTAAAGACCTCAAGAGTTTGTGACATTTTAGATCAGATTAACTGCTACAATATCGATTTTTAAAGAGTTTCAATGTTGAAACTAGAGTTCTAGTATGGGACATAGGCCTAATTTGTGTTGTTCACTCATTTAATAAACATTTTACTGGGAACAAAGGAGATGCTGACAAGCAAGACTTCTTCTTCTTCTTCGAAGAACTCATACCCTTACATTCAATGTGACACGTGGACATAGGAAGTATGACCTGAAAGTAGACCACGTGGAGCCAGGACCCAAGTAGCCCAGTGGGGTAGGTCAGTGTGTACACAGGTGTGTGGGGAGTGCTGCAGAAGGCCCACACCCAGGGCCGGAGGACCTGGGAGAGTTTCTTGGAGATGGTCTCTAGACCAGGCTTGGAAGGCCGCGAAGGAGTTTGCCAGGTGAAAGAAATTGCTGAAAGGAAAGGAATTACTGAAACATGCTGCTGCATCTTTGGAAGCAGGGAGCTTTCCTTTTTTTCTTTTGAGGCATCATCTGCATTTTATTTGTATCTATAAAATGGAAGAAATAAATTTATAGTGTAAATGAAATAATGAACTAGCTCTAATAGTATAAACACTCAGTTCTTATTTTCTGATGTCTCTAATTTACTCAGAGTTAACTGCTGATATATTGTCACCCAGTCCACATGTATGTACTGAGCATCTGAATTCTTGTGCTAGATAAAATTGTCTTTATCAGAATACATGGCCATGCAACTGTGTCCTGTTTTGCAAAATGATAGCCGTTCCAGCTTTGCTGAGCTGTTGATTAAATGAATGGTAGTTTTTTTCCATTTTATTTCAGGGCTCAGCTGTGAGTCACACAAGTTCATCCAAAAAAGCAGAAATTAAAGTTTATTGGAAGGCTCCAAGCAGTGCTCCGAATCACGTAAGATTTCTGTGAGTAGGAGGGTTTATATCTTTGTTATTAATATAATTACAACCATAATGGTGTGTACCATTTTGTATGCTTTTGGAAATCTGTGATCTATCTGGAAGACTTTTGGCAGAGTAATGACACCAGCTTACCAATAAGAGTTTGTTTTGTGTTTTGCTAGCTTGTTTCACCAAGGGGCCTAGCCTAGCACTTCCTACACAGTGGGAATTTAATTGACATTTGCTGAGAGTGAGTGAAGTATTTTATTACCCTAAAACTCATAAAACCATCAGCTGATAGTTGAGGCCAGTATGAAAATACGAATAGGCCAGGTGTGCTGGTGCACGCGTAACCCCGGCATTCAGGAGGCAGAGTTAGGGAAGATTGCTGTGAGTGTGAGGCCAGCCTGGGCTACAAAGTGAGTTCAAGGTCAGCATGAACTGCATAATCCTATCTACAAGAAGCAGAAGAGGAGGAGGAAGAGGAAGAGGAAGAAGAAAAAGAAGAAGAAGAGAAGAATAAAGTAGTTCTGAAATTTGAATGACTTTTTTGCATTGTTACAACTTGCAGATTAGGGTGTTAGGAAAATAACCTGAATGCCACTAAGAATTTATGTAATTCAGAAGAATTAAAAGGTACTTTTCCCTTCTTCCTCTGTACAGGAGAAATAGAATGTCATAAAGCTGTGTAATAATTCCTGAGGGTATTATGGACATATATTTCAAGGAAATGTCGCTATCTTTTTTTTGTGTGTGTGTGTGCCGGGGATCAAACTCACAATGTCACGTTTGTCAAGCAGACACTTACGTCGCTGAGCTAAAACCCTGGGCAATGTTGCTATCCTTGACATGTTTCAGTTTTCTGCTTAACTTTGTACACAGTTGCCCAGGTCAAGCAACGATTTTATATCTCTGTGTTAGGTGGAGCATGATAGATGGACTGTGACCCGCTGAGAACTGACAGTTTCTTTGCAGCCTCTTTTGAGCAACTGCTGTAGCTGCATGCCATATCCTCCTTTTGGAAGGATGTGACTACTGCACTATAAAATCAGCAGTAGTACATTCTTTACGCATCAAAGGAAGCAATCAGTGTCATTTAGCCACTGAATCTGACATTCATGGATGCTGTTAATATGTCCAAAGAACAGAAAAGAGAGGGACCAAAGCAGAGAGGAATAACAGTTCGTACAGTGATAGGATGGAAGACAGTCATTAGAGATTCGTTGCAGAGAAGTTGTGTATTCCTAATTCACCTCTCCTACCTTTTTTTTCTTTTAGCAGTTTGATTTTATGACGATGGGCCACAGTTAGGGTTTTGTCTAATCTCACTATGATTCCTTTCAGAGCCACAGTGGTTGAGAAGTATAAAATCTACTGGGTGAAGATTCCTAGTCAGATAATTTCACAACCAAACGCACTTCCCTTTACAACACCTAAAGCTACAACAGCCCCATCCTCAGCATCACCTACAGTCTCCCACTTAACCAAACCAGTAAGTCTTCACATGCCATCTTAACTAATGGCGTTTTTGGAAATTGTTGTTCTATGCTTGGTAAAGTGCATATTAGAGAAGTAGTTGTATTTGGTTGTGGTAGCAAGTTTGTGTTTTTGGTAGGAATATTATACTTTATAGGTTAGAAAAAGGAAATGCATGTTCAAGTTGTGGTTATAATATTCACATGTAGTCTATATTAGCAGTGAATATATTTCCATTTGGAAATAAATTTGAGGAAGTCCCTCTTTCCCCCCTCCCTTCTTTCCTCGTGGCTAAGTATCAGACAGAAGAGGGAGCTTAAGCTGAATTGATACAAGATTTGGAGGAGTTTCTTTCTTTCTTTCTTTCTTTCTTTCTTTCTTTCTTTCTTTCTTTCTTTCTTTCTTCTTTCTTTCTTTTGGTGTGGGGAATCAAACTCAGGACCTTGTGCTTGCCAGGCAGGCACTTATGCCACTGCCACCAAGCTATATCCCCGGCCCTTGGAGGGGATTCTTGAAGTGGTGATATAACTCTTAGATCTTTTGAGAGGTCAAAGAGTAGTAGAGAGTCCTGTATGTTGAGTGACAGAAAATCTCTTGTAAGCTCCTCAGCAGGAATTCCATTTAGGCCTTCTGATTCAAAAAATTATGATTGCACAATCTTGGAAAGCGTAGTGCATATTAAAAACACTAGGAAGAGGCATTTCAGTAAGGGAAATTCTGGTAAGTTAGACTGGTTCAGAAGTGGCTGTGAGAGTGTCTTGAGACAAGCGGTAACAGTTTAAAGAACTCTTTTGGACCTAAATACTGACTTGTCTTCTTCCTGTGGATCTTTAGGGAAAACTCAATTTTCAGTCTCAGTTTTTTCACTTATGAGGAACAATAATATCTAGCTGTTAGTATCACTGTGAGAATTAAAATAATGAATATTTTTCTATGCTTTGCACTTAATATTTAGTAAACATAAGTTCCTTTTCTTTTTTTTTTTTTTTGTCTTTTTATTGGTACCGGGGATCGAACTCACGACTGCCTGCTTGCAAGGCAGGCACTTATGCCGCTGAGCTAAATCCCCAGACCCAAGTTCCTTTTCTTATGTAGTCCTTTTTAAATTGTCATTCTCATGTAGATGACCTAAAGTTTTTTCCTTCTATGTAACATTAGTCTTACTTCACTTTCCTTCTTGTCTGCATTTTTAAATATATATATATGGACATGAATTTGGTTATGTTAGTATGAATGTTGCACTTTTATTGACTATACAATTGTATCTCTTATTTTGTACTAGTTCTCACTTTAGTCTTAGTGCATTTTATTGAATAGCTTCTATTTAACTGTTTATTATAGTTAAATGCTTTTATTTAAATATTTATTTAGGGGCTGCCTAGTAGGAATCTGTTGACAGTGTTTTTGTCTTTCCATGTAGTTAATAAACGACCTTTGTTTTTGTTGGAGCTTTTACCATGTCTCTGTGCCAAGTTTGTGATTCTGATGATAGGGAGTTTTGTTCAGAGTCATAGGATTGTAGCATTTATTTAGAGCTAAAAGAGATCTTGGGGTCTATTTTGTTCAGTTTCCTTCTTGTATATAGGTAGAGGGACCCTAGAAAGTCCCTCTACCTTGATATCTTTGGATATTTCCAAAGATCTTTGGAAAATGTGATGGAGCAAGGGGGAGGAGAGACCAAGGTTATACGTCACCTATCTCCTAGTGACTTGTTTGCTTCACCCTGCTAGGATTAGTTGCTACATTTCCATGAAATCCAGTTACATAAAGTTAATGTGTAGCTTTCTTTTCAAATGTACTTTTGCATCTGGTTCCAACAAACTCTGCTTGCTTGCTCTGCCAAATTGTAGAGCATGTTTTTGAGACTCTTTCTCTTGTAAGCATAATAAGAAACTCTGAATTAAATCGTTGTAGATCATTGCCTGTTCCTCCCCTCATTAAATTATTACTGCTCTTGGGAATGGTGATATTTACCAGGTTAACTTTTTTCTTGTGTTACTTTAGTATCAAATTTGAACCCAAATTGTAAAAGCAGAATCCAAAATCTAAGTATAAAAGTCTGCCAAGGATTTGTTTGCTTTTAAAACTCCCATTTTGAAAACTAGAGGCTACCTATTAGGCAGGATTGTTAATATGGACATAATCCCCAAGAAATTTCTCAAAAAAACTTTTTTTCCAGATATGTTCTGGAATATGCATAATGTGAAATGCTTTGTGTATTAAAAGGACTTTTAATGGCCTTGTATCACTGCAGGCCAATGAGGAAAAAATTTTCTAAATTGTAATTAAAATTAATTAAGTTCAAAAGTTCACAACCTAACTACTGCTGTGAGCACTTCTAATTTGGAATGTCTTCTGTTCTTTTCTTTAAACCCTTATGATGAAACGGTTTTCTCATTAAAGTCTGTCATTGAAGATTGTGGCTCTTTTGTGGCTGACAGTGAACTGCTTGTTTGATAATGAAGGTTTTTTTCTCTTGTTCATTTTTCTAGTTCAGTGCCTCAGACTGTGGGAAAAAGAAGTTTTGTATCAGGAGTCCTCTGAACTGTGACCCAGAGAAAGAGCAGGCCTGTGTCTTCCTGTCCTTCAGGAGAGATGACCAGTCGGTGATGGTGGAAATGAGTGGTCCTGGTGAAGGCTACCTATCCTTCGCACTGTCTCGTGACCGATGGATGGTTTGTGCCCTTGCTTATGTTTATAGTAATCAAAGAAGCAGCAGTGGAGGGAGCTCTAATCAATAGTAGATTAGCTGTTTCTTCCAGAGTAAAATTACCGTACTTGATGGTGGGATGGGAGAAGAAAAACTAATTTAGAACAGATTCAGAGTTAAATGACTGTGTTTCCTAATTTTAATTTTACCAGTCAGGCAATTATGTTCCTCTAAGCACAGGCTGTCCTACGGACAGATGGAAAGACCATCTTATGTCCAGTAGATTTGCCACTTTCTGTCTGCTTTTGGTGGTAAAGCCGGAAGCACGGTTAAATTTGCTGTGCGTAAGACATCATGTTGTGATCCTTTTCAAACCATAGTTGTTCACATGTGTGGGAGAGCAGAAGTGTATGTTCCTGCTCTTGGTGGCCCTGTTGTAGTAGACATCAGTGTGTTTCCCTCCCAGAGAATCACACCTGTGCGTGCAGCTGAAGCGCAGTCCGTGCCTGATCTGCAGCAGGCAGCATTTGCTCCTGCAGATTTTGTGTCTCCCTGAGCGATGCTGGATGGATTCAGTGGTTCTGTAGGTGGCAGCCTCGTGCCATGGTGTGGAGGAGCCGTGCTGCATGGAGACCCTGATTTCTCAGGGAGAAGTAAGAAGGGTCTTGTAGTCAGGACAAGTGTATGTCCAGTGCAAGCAGTGCTGGGAGCGTGTGGTGGTGGTGGTGGGGGTTGGTGGCCAATGGGAAAGTTCCTTGTTCCCGTTTTAGTGAAGGCAGAGGACCTTTTAAGAATTTTTTCCCCTAATCAGTATTTAAACTTAACCTCGCCTACTTCTTTAGGGGATCATATTTCAAAAACTGATGAGGGACTCTGAGATGGCTCTGATAATTTAAGCTTTTTCTAAAAGTGTGGTCTAATCATATTTGCCCTGGTGCTCTGTCTTTGGAAGCCAGATGTACCTTTGTAGGGAGATGATGTCTCAGTTTACATGTATGACTCAGGTTACTGAACAGCTCTAGAGTGATCTCACTCTCCTTTCGTGAAGCAACAGCTATACCTTACATCTGTGGGATACAACTTATGTCATGTGGCTTAAAAAATAAGGGGCTGGGGATATAGTTCAGCAGCTTAAGCGCCTCTCTGGCAAGCATGAGGGCATGAGTTCAGTCCCCTGTACGGAAAAGAATAAAAGAAAGGACTGGGCATTTAGCTCAGTGGGGTAAACTCCTGCCTGTCAAGCGTGAGGTCAAGAGTTTGATCCTCAGTACAAAAAAAACCAAGTCTTTTCCCTTCCAAGTTGCTTTTATAGAAGTTTTTAATGGAAAATAATGCTGTACTTGTTCAAGACATTTTCTTTATTTGCCTTCGTAATTGCTATCAGACCTGATGCCTATTCTGGGTATTCTCAGCATTGGCAAAATGAATCAATTTTGAACCATAAAGGTGGGTAAAAAACCAAGCTTTAACAAAAGGTAGTGTGTGGGTGAATGTGATAGGATTGACTATGAAAGAAATTCCGATAATGAGTCCAAAAAGGATTAAAATTGTTGAATAAACATCTGATTTCGTTAGGGTTCATCTCTGAGGTGCCGTGCCCATTTGGATTTATACTTGAGTCAGTTAAAACAAAAACTCATTCCAGTCACTTTGTAGCCCAAATTCATGCTATATAATGTACTGGGACATTTCTTTTTACTGGTCACATAAAGTGTGTAAGCGAAGAGGGAAGGACATCATTGTGTCAAGTGTGGGAAATGGATAGCTAGTAGGCTGGTTATTTCTGTTCTAAATTGTAGGCATAGATGGCACAAAAGCACTTATCTGTAATTCAAGATATGTTTATCTTACTTAGCAATCTTATCTGTGTCTAGCGTAGGACTCATCAAAAATGTTTACAAAAAAAGATATAATTATGCAGGTGTAGTTGATTTACATAGTAATCTCGTTTAATGATTAAAATCATCTGTACACCTGTGCCTAAATTGGTGGAAACGAATCACACTCAAAATATATTTTAAAGTGGTTTATTTCTATTTTGGGTAGTTATCTTTAAATTTTTAAGGAAATTTTTATGACCTCCTATATTTTTTGAGTAGATGATATAGATTTAAATACCAAAGGCACCTGATATTATGAATACAGGTTAGAGAACATAAATTATACCTTTTAAAAATTTGGCTTGTAGCCAGGCTGATGGTGCACACCTATAATCCCAGCACGGAGGAGGCTGAGACAGGAGGAATCTGAGTTTGAGGTCAGTCTAGGCTACATAGCAAGTTCAAGCAAACAAAACAAAACAATCCCCCAAACTGGCTTGTAAATTTATGATAACAACTGTTTTGGTATTAGATCTTTTCACAAAAATCAATGAAAAGTTTAAATTTCCATACTTTTGCTAACAAGTGGCTGGCTAATTTCTGAATGTTTGATTGAATCTCAAAAGTACATGTATCTTTGTTATCTGAGATATTTTATTAAATAATAGTGTGTCAAACATACAGATTGGTTAGCTCCTTCTTTACCTGAAGAATATATACTCCCGTGTAGTTCCTCTCACTTTGTACTCAGAACATAGATCACTTCTGTGACCCCACAAAGGGTTCTAGCAAGCAGGCAGTCTTCAGTGGATACCAGCTGGATGTCTTCTAATTCAGTTCAGTGCAGATATCACATACCCAGAGATGGTGTTAAATTTCACAGGTTGAAGGCTCAATCCCCAACACTGCCCCTCCCCTCATTTTGGGTGGTGACCACAAGCCCCAGGTCATTTTACCTGTGTTTCTGACTTCATGAGCTGTGGACTGGGGTTCCCAACACCTCTCTAAGAGTTTGACAAATTTGCCGGAGCTATTTGGAGAATATGTTTGTTATAAATGATGTTACAGATAACATAATTTTATGCAATATTTAGTAAAAAGATGCACGTGGTGAGGGGCTGGGAGAAGGGTGGGGAGTGGAGCTTCCAGGAACCTTCACACAGACAGCTGTCCAGAAGCTCTCTGAACCCTGTCCTGTTAGGTTTTTATGGAGGTTTCATATAGGCATGATGGATGAAATCTTTGACTGTTGAACATCTTTCCTTCTCAGATGTTGGGGAGTGCGGTTCAAAGCCCAACCCTCTAATTTTGTATCTACCTTTGTGCCAGAGTGACTGAAGACTCTAAAGATTTTAGGCGTTGTATGCCAGGAGAAAGGAATGAAGACTAAATCCGTACTTTGTATCATGCTTGCACTGTGTCATATGGTTCCAGATATAAAGTCAATGGCCAAATTCTAGGATATCCCAGTACTGACTGCTCTTGGATCCTAGATTGTAGGTTACAGTTGCTGATTGATCTTTTCCAGATAAGTGATCCTAGACAACACAAATCAATATTTATCAAACTGAACTTATTTCCCCTCCTGGTATTTCCCAGTGGTCCTCCTTCTTGGGGATCAAAAACAAGAATTAAAGAAAGCAGCTTGTGTCTTGTCAGACACAGTTCCAGATAATTTTTGGAATGGGTCACTTATTGCTGCCTGCCATTATCTTTCCTTGTTTTTAGAGAAATTTTGATCATGACTTAGATTTGTCTCATTCACTTGTCAGATTCTTTTTTTTTTCTTTGTCTTTTTTTGAGACAGGGTCTTGCAGTGCAGTTCAGGCTGACCTTGAGCTCATTTGTAGCCCACACTGGTCTAGATTTTGCAACTATCCTCTGCCTCAGCCCCCAAGTGCTGGGATTACAGGTGTGTGCCACTATGCCCGGCTTTGTCAGGTCCTTCTTGTAATCTCCAAACTTTCATTTTAAAAAGTTTTACATTTGGACAGTTGTGGGGAGAATAGTGGAGTGAACACCCATAAGGCTTCATCCAAATATGCCACTTTATCTTTCTAGTCTATCTATATCTGTCTTGGTTTATTTGGTGTATGTGAGTACTCATTTCTTCCACTAAATTATTTGAAATCAAGTTGTGGATATCAGAATATTTCATCCTTAAAGTTTTCAGCATCTCTTCCCTAAAAACAAAGACTTTTTTCTCTAATGATCCCAATATCTTTATCCACTGAGAAAATTTAGTAATGACATGTAATTTTATGCAGTATTTAGTTTGTATTCCAGTTTACCCAGTTGTCCCAATAAAGTTCCTGTATAATTTTTTTTTTCTTTTTTTAAAGGAGGTGGGTGTCATTGCCTGCTGTGTACTTCAGGCTGGCCTCCAACTCACTGTGTAGCTCAGCTGGCCTTGAACTTGTGGAGATCCTCCTGCCTGATGCTCTGAAGTTCCTAGATTACAGGAGTGTGTCACCATGCCCAGCTGGGGGTAGTTGTTTTTTTCCATCCTGGGTTTTCTGAGACAAGGTCTCACTGTGTAATTCAGGCTGGCCTTGAACTCACTATGTGCCCTGGGATGGCCTCGAGCTCACCGTGATCCCCCACCTCAGCCTCCTAACTGCCTCAGCCCCGTGAGTGCTGGGAGTGTAGGTGAGCACCACTGTGCCTGTTTTTTATTTTGTCTGAATTTTGATTCAAGAGCAGTTGTCAGTGCATTTAGCTAGTATATCTTGTTGATCTTTTTTTGCTTTAGAACAGTTACCCTACCTTTTTCTTAATTTTCTTTTTTTTTTGTTTGGCCAGTGGTTTTGGGGAATGTTCTCAAATTTACACAGTTCACATTAAGAATTTTGGCGCAGTTACAATGTATTGGATGTTGTTTCCAAATCACTGCATCATGTCAAAAGGTGCATAGTTGTCACCTTTAATATTTCTCCATTATGTGGATATCTTTTTTCATTGCAATTAATAAATAATAGATGGCATAATATTTTGAGTTTGTATGAATAGTCTGCTCCCTAGGAAGCTGTTGCCAAATAGTTTTAGCATTTATTGATGCTTTTTGTGTGAATCACTTGTTAACATTTGCGATTGTAAATGGTAGTTTCGTAGCTTATTTATTAGCTGATATTTTTGTGAAAGAGCTTTCTTTTCTTGGTACCTCTCCTTTCCTTTCAGGGTGACACTATGGATTATTCCTTTTCCA